TAGGTTGTAATCAATGGTTAGTCTTATTTTAGTGACAGTAATCTTTTATTAAGGCTGTCTCTACGTAAAACCACTATATTTAGGCTTAATTAAAAATGAAAGCATGTCTTTTTTTATTTACCCGTTTTATTATCGCTACCCTAATAGTAGCTAATAGTACCTCGCTGCCAAGTGAAAACAGTCCCTGGTAATCTATGTGGTGAGAACTTTTATATTTAGCTATAAACAGCCGACGAAAAAAAAGGCTTTTCGCTCAAGCTTTCTTGTATTTGAATCGTAGATGAGTGAATTCTTTGACAAAGTGTCGTCACTGATTATGTACAAAAAATTACTTTGTAAAACGTCGTTTCTGCTTGTTGAATGTTAAACTGTAATTCTGTGTTTTCGCTATCGACCAGGTTCCTCTTGTAGCGTATTGACTGTATTCAGTTTTGCTTCTCGCCGAAAACGTAGAACGAGCAAAAAGTTTTGCTCCGTATAAATCCATTCTTTTCTAAAATAGTAGGCGCCCATTTCCTCCAAGTTTAATTTTTTTTGTCCCACTTTTTGATTGTGTCTTGCACGTTCATGTGTCGGGTCTTCAAAAAACGGACATTGAGAAAGATTCCATTCACGTGATCGCTAATTGATCGGTAACTCCACTTCTTTAATTTGTATAAGAGACTTTGGCACGAGAATTGCTCAGTTCGTTAGAGCACCTTTCTGAAACACACAAATATGTCTATAGACCCAGAAACTAGAGTTAAAACCTTATTCGAAGGACTTTGGGACCCCTGCGGGAGCCTTTATTATACACGACTGTATTGTCTTAACACACTTTTTCGTCCTAAGTGCTTGACAATAATTTTTTGCTTACTAGGTCTTAGACTAGCGCATGTATTCAATTCGCCGTCTACCTTACCATTTTAACTGTTTATTCCGTCTTTTCTGAGTTAATACAACGGTTTTGTCCCCTAATAAACACATGTTGTATACCTGGTTTTCTTTTGAAAGTATATAATGGTCACCATTTATTTCTAAGATTAAATACCGTAAGCTTTTCTTTCGTTTTTAATATTCAGTAGCAATCCCTCTCTCTGTGTTAATAAACAATTAAGTTCTCTCTGGTATTGACAGTCTTTATTATTCTGAAGGATAGTTCGGTTCTTCAGCTCGTTATGTTTTGTTCCTCTTCAGCGCTTTGATTTCCTTCGGTTTAAACATGCAATTTTGTTAAAAATTTAAACTTGTTTAAGTATGAATGTACTGCACATGTTAATTCATGCTTATATCCGTACTCTACAACATTACGTAACAAGATTGTAGCACGTACACACTCGACCTGCATGCAAAGCTATCTTTTACTTTATTCGTTAAATAGCTCTTCGAATGATAGCATTGTGATCATGTTAGCAGATAATATATCGATGCAAAAGCTAAATGCTGATTCACTTCATTTTCGTAGTAGTAGTTTGATTGCATTCTTAATTGATTGAAATGTGTTCTTCCAAACGAACGTTTTGAGTTGCTTGTTTGTGGATAACTTTTGCGAAGAAAATGATTTTGGGTTTACTCTTTTCGACAAGGAGCTAGAAAGCTTTGTTTGTGCGAGTAAACAATCTTCAGTGTGTGTAACTACTTTGTTTCCCTTGTAATCCTTCACAAAGACTTTTACATCACGATTTACACGATTCAACGCAAAGTGCTGATTCCTAACCACAAACAATGAAACCCTCCCTAATCTTGCACTTTTTTGTCATCGAAATTTCTGGACATTGAGGCAATTGGAAGTGATTTAAGACAAGACGTACTGAAATGATTTCATTACTTGACTTTTAAAGTTTCGAAAAGTTCGGGCCAGTTTGCTTGACTTGTACAAAAAAATCGCTTATACAACCTAATTCCCGATGGTACTGTTATCGGGCTTATTGTATATTATAGTGTAAAGGAATGTTAAAATTGAAAGGGTCGGATCACGCTTTGTGCTTAACAAATGAACGGTCATGAACAGGAAGAACCATTAGCCATGCATTTTCTTTTTTGCCCACGATGTCGTTTGTATTGAAGTTTACTTACGAAATTGACTTCAGTTGGGATCAATTTGTTTTGAGTTAACGTTAGTTAACGCTAATGCAAACCATTCATGCTTGCCTAATGAGTACTTTTGTATTCTGGGTATCAAAAGTGTTTGGTAGAGATAATCTCGACCCCTTTTGGTCGTAATTTTCTGTTATTTTGCCGCGTACTGGTCATTGGTTCCTCAAAACTATGTACTAGTTCTTTACGTCAGTTTTCAGTTTTTAAAAATGTTTTTGGCTAAGCAGAGCTTACATACATAAGTGCAGTATCATAACGGGAAAGATTATTTCCTTTTGTATTGTGAAAAATATATATGCTTTGATATCCTTTTCTAAACACAAATTGCATTTAAATCATTCATGACTGAGATGAAACTAAGATTGAGAAAGGTATTTCGTGCCACTTTCGGTGTAAGGACTTGAAAATATTGGCGCTCCTTTTTCGAAATAGAACCTACTTTCCCCATAGTGTGAACAGCTGTTTGGCCGTGGGTGAAATATCAGCGGGCTTTGAAAAGCTTTCTCAAAAGAGATAAGTCACGTCAAAAGACTTGTTGACGCAAAATGGGGGGAAAAAAGCGACAGATTAAAACCGGGACTTGATGCTCCAGCATTTCTGGAGTATGACTTAAAAATACAGTTATTTCAAAGACAGTACAATTATGCGACCCGCGTTAAACTTTGTCTGAGTGGTTGCATAGTTTAAATTGAACCCAAAAGTCCAGCCGTGTGTTTAAACCCTAGTGAATACATGTAGCTCCGAGCGTAATCTTCACTTAAACTGAAAAAAATAGTCCTGACGGAATTGCGAAAAGCCTGAAAATTTAGGTACAGTGGTTAGTCCAAAGAGACGATTATTTTGTGACCTGCGTTTGTACTAGTGGATGCCGGCATTGTTTTAACTGTGCCCTGAAAGTCGACCCTTGTGTTTTAAGCCCTTTTTAATACCACCGAGGATAATCTCCATTTTAAATGAAATAAAAATAAATGGACACCGCATTTACACACGCAATTGCTGCAATGGTGAAAAGAAGGCTGAAAAAATCAGGACTTCATCTAGACTCGGACGCGACCTCCGTCTTAATCCGCCTCTGACCAACAGAGTCATAAAGTAAAAAAAATTGTTTGATCAACTGAGTTGACCTGGTCGATTTACCACTGTAAAATTATTAAAAAGCTGACATTTTTCAAGCGATAGCCTCTGATCAGAGCGAGCTGTTCAAGCCCCTGATGTTTGGAGAGGGTCAGTTGTGGATATATGTGTTTCCGTAAAAAGTGAATTTGAATGGTGTATGAAGTACATCATATGCTGTCAAATCAGATATCAAGCGAACATCCTTTATTAAGCTGTCTTAGGTATCAGTAAGGCCCAAGTTTTTTCCCCCATATTTTCTGTGAAACAGATCTGTATTTTAGAGTGTCCGTTTGCAGTGGTCACGTGGGTGTACCTAGAATGCAGCCCTCACTGTCTATCTATATCTTTGGTGTTCATTTTAACACTCACAAACGTTTTCAAGGCTCAGCTCTACTGAGGGCACTGTCCCTTATGTTCTTCTTTCAACTTTCATTTCCGTCTGGCCTAGAGTCCTCGCATTCAACTTTTAGAGTTTAACGGAATGTTTCCCGATGTGAACTCATGGTATCGTAGAAAACTACCGCTCAATAACTTTCGACGTTTGTCTGTTAAAGTAATTGAAAATTAGGCTTTGCGGTAAATTTGATAAATAAAGGGCTAGGAAATTCACGTGTCGCACGTGAGAATTAACGATATAAGGCCTTGTTTTCACGTGCGCAAGTAATGAAATAAAAGGCTTGAGCTTAGTTGAGACTAGGCTTTCTCGTGAATGAACTCCGGTTTTTTTTCCTGAAAACCTTCTTTTAATAATAAAACCAATAACAATAGAAAGCGCATTAAGAGATTTGCGCTTAGTGACCGACATCAAAGTAAACGCCCAAAACTCAGACAGATAACCTATTCATTATCTAATGGGCCTTGTTAGGGTAATCTTTCGACAAGCGCCTTGGCCTTAAAACAGCGACAGAAGCCGCGGTTGAAATGACGAGACAAGCTCAAAATACAATAGAATTCACCGACAGGGACTTAGCTTCCTCCTCACAACGCGAGAAGACGGGTTTTGCAGTTCAGATAAGGGGAACACGTAAGGCCCCTAAGAGGACCTCAATATCACTCGACAGAGAAGTTCAAGCACATTAAGAACAACGCGTCTCGTATTCGGCGAAGTGTAGACGGTTTTGACAGTAAAATACTTCAGTGCACTTTCAAAATAGATCTACTTGTGCTTATATTGCGTCCCGCTTTCGCATGGCATAACCCGAGCACAAGAAGAATCGCAAGTACGAGAAAAAAAAATGGATCCTTGCCCTTATGCTTGCGTTAAGTTCCTTTTCACGGTACAATAAGCGTCCCGGCTATGCTTGGGTTGTGTTTTCGCCGCTAGTGAAAACAATTTTTTTATTAACCTAGAATTAAGTGAGCTTTCAACGGGTTGCAACCTTTCTATGGTGATGCAGACAAAATTACTGTAGCTTAATTACTGGATATTTGTCTGCTACTTTTGTTCGAAGGGTCTTACAAACAGTGGTGTAGTATTGATCCATCATTGTTAAAGCCCTAAACGTTTTAGAAAAAAAAGAATAGGCAAGCTCATGGTCCTCTTTCTGTGAGTAGAAAAACAAACATTGATCATTTCAGTGCTTCAGTTTCGTTTTCTGAAAGCTTTGTTTAAAACATCATAAGTTTGACAGAATTTTCGACGTTAACAAATTTTTACAAATTTCTTAGAGGAATAGTTATCCCACATAAGCATGATGATGAACCAGTCCAATCAAACACCAAATACTTACGGCCACAAATATATTTTTCTTCCCTTTTGCAGATGAACTAGGTCGCTAACATCGCACCATCCGTGCTGCTATAAGGAAATGGACTTGAAAACATTTCTCCAAAGCAACGTTGCCTTACCACCTCGTCCTAGGAGGAGACGACACAGTATCGCTGACCTTCGTTTCGTGTATAATCTTCATGATATTCCAGAAAGACCAGAGGAGGAGGAGGAGGTTGAAAAAGAACCGCGACGACGCTCAACGGGAAGTTGTGCAAAGAATGAAAGGGATAGATCGGCTAGCGAGCCGCCCGATAATCGTTCACCCAAAGACTGCGATAGCGCGGTTATTAATATCCCTGGGAATCCATCCACTGATTTTTCTGTAAGTCCATCTGAGCTCACCAAGAACACATCAAGAGAGGCGAATGAAATCGCAGCCTTTCCATCTGGGGATGAGGACAGAGGAGCAGCATTTCAACGATGCTATAAGCGATCTTCTAGTGTAGACGAAGATGTTGTAAAAGAAGCTGTGTCTACCTACGTTCTTTCATACACAGACGAAGATGGTAACGTAATAAGTGCTGATGAAGTCTCTCCATCAAACACAGGGTCATCTTCTCCCAGCGATGAAGATTTAGGCATGTCTGAGATGTTAAGGAAAGTCGAGGCCCAATCCCCAATGACTCGATCCAGACGAGGTAGTGCCATAGACCAGGATGTTGTTGAACGAATCACTTGCCTGACACCTATAGTAGAGTCTAGCCGCTCCAGCAGTTTGGCAAGCGTGGTGGCCAATGTGAATGGTCGTGAAAATTCACCAGAGAACTGCAATAAAAATGAAAGAGCTATTCTAGGATCGAGCAATATATCCCAAAAAAATTTTGATAAAAATCAGGAAATGCTCGAGAGGATTATCAAATCTCCTAATTTAACGAGAAGAGGATCTATTAGCGAAGTCCTTAACTCATTGTCGGCTCAGGCTGAACTCGGCAGTGATCCCGCGAGACAGAATACCAAAGAGAATGGCTGTGAAAATTCAACAGGGGACTGTAATAAAAATGAGGGAGCTTTTCAGGGATCGAACAGCACGTCTCCAAAAGTATCTGATAAAAATCAGGAAATACTCGAGAGGATTATCAAATCTCCTAATTTAACGAGAAGAGGATCTTTAAGCGAAGTCCTTTGCTCATTGTCACCACAGTTTGACCTCAGTAGCGATCCCGCAAGACAGAATACCAGAAAGGGCCCCTCTTCCCATTTCGAGAACGATTCGAACTTCAGGGCACAAAACGATAAACCTGAGAAGCTCATAAATCCTCTGTCAAAAGGCAGCAATGTAATGCTTTCCCAACAGTCACCTGAACAGAAAAAAGGTCCTTGGAGTCCACTCTCTCCACTAAAAGTTAATGCTGAGTATTATCAACAATCAAAACTTCAGGAAAAATGCGATGTTAGTGGCACTTCACCCAAAGGTGTCGACAAACAGAAGGTCATATTGTCCATGCCTGAAAATGGAGCCGAATGCGACCTCCCTAACAAAGACAAAGACAGTCTGCTTGGAAGGATAATTAAAAGTCCATGTCTTACCAGGAGAGGCTCTATCGGAAATGTCCTTAACGTCTTGTCTCCAAGTCCAATGAGAAAGTGTCCATCGCCTTCACCCTTTATAACCAAACGCAATGCTGAAGATGTTTGTTCGGACTCTACGAAGGCTCAAGATGTGAAACAATCGTCTGGTACACCCAAACCGAAAGGGCTATTGGCAATCGTTCAGAAACACGTGCTGAACCACACCCAGAAGATACAGCGAAAAAGGCGAAATTCCATTGCTTCCACATCACCTCACACGGGAGCTTTAGAAATCTCTTTAAGAGATTCTTTTGACACTGAGATGAACTATTCTACCGTAAAGTCGACTTTATCAGCATCTCAAAACAATTCTAAACAGTTTTCGAACCAAATCAGTAACAGCAAGAGTAGCAGCACTTACAAGCAACAAAATGGGCAGCTAAGAACATCGATCGCTAGCCAAAAGGACATAAAACAAATAATCGGTTATGACGCTTCTGTGGCGAACTCGAATTTATCAACACCCACTGATAATTCGAGCGAAAACAGCAATAATAGAGGCAGTCGTAACCAAAACAACGAGCAGCTAAATGCGAAGATCACAAATCATAGGGATGTAAAACAGAAAATCGATTCTAACTCACTTTACACAAAATCAGCTATATCGTCTACATCTAATTCCTTTTTGAGCGACGGCAGCAATAATAGCAGCAGTGACAGGCAACACAATGAACAGCTGAATGCGCAGAACACTAAGCACGAGAAAGTAAAGCACACGAGCAATACTAATTCGTCTTTCGTGATGTCGACTGCAGCAGCACCTCCAAATGATACCTCTTTAAGCGACTACAGCAACAGACGCAGTAGTCGGAACCAGCAGAACGAGCAGCTGAATGTTGAAGACAGTCCCTTTGGATGTGGCGAAAATAATGTTAGTACTCCAACGCCAGCTGCTTATGGCGCACACGCAGAAAGTCCCCAAACAAGTTACATTAATGGCCTCTTGTCTTCTACAACTAGACGACTCGTTGGTTGCGAAAGCATAGATGTCGCTGGATTACAGTCGGATTTAGCCTCAGTAAAGCCAGCGCAGAGAAAAATAAGCGCTCCAGCAGCACCAAAGAGCGTCGATTCCCCACAACGCAAAACTAGCGTAAATATCATCAAAAGGGCGCCTATTACTTTTGTGATCTCAAACAAAAAGGATGAGGAAACCGGAGTAAGAGAAAACGGATCGGAGTGCCTAATTGATCGTGGCGTGTCTTTCACAAATTCAAGATTCCTTCCAATAAACCAGAAGGAGGCCAAAGAGAATTCTTTGATGAAAGAAGAAGAGGCATCTAATTTGTCGAATAAAACGATTAATTCTACCGTCACGATGAGTTCACGCGTAACTGTCCACGGTGGAGGCGGTACCACTTTTCGTAAAACAGGAGTCGCTGGAACACAAAATCCTTTTAATGATTCCCTTCCCACTGACGAGCGGTTTGCGGCGCTCAGTGAGAGATACGCTTCTTTGAAAGCGAAACTCGGAGGAAGTGACTCAAGACAGAAAAATCAAGATTCTTGTCCCAAAGAGTCTCCCAAAGCTGTAGAAGCAAAAGATCACAGTTCAAATATCGGCGAAACGTCAACACAGTTGAAGTGCTGGACAACTGTGGAAAGCATACCGATAGGTAAATATCAAGACAACACATTTGGCAAGGATGTCGATGAGGCATGCACCGAAGGCAAAAGGAAAGTAATAGAAGGTGACAGTGAACAAAAACGAATATGTTTCACGGAAAATGTGAATGAGAATGATGCAACCCCTTGGAGAAATATTGCCAATATTTATGACACCGAAAGCGACGTCAAAATTGACGAGAATAACAACGTTAGCAGGAACACTTATCCTCCAGTTTCCAAGATGGAAAAAGAGAAAGGCGGGATCCCAAGCAATGAAAGAACTGCCCTTCAAAGGGCCCGAACTAGCGTTGTTGCTAAACTGATGGACAGAAAAATGGGCATCAGAAGAAAGCAAAGTATTGTACCTCGCGTGACGGAAAGACGGTCCAAGGTTTACAAGGAATACTGTACCGCAGACAGTGGTATTCCAGCAACTGTAGCGCAATTTGAGAAAATAAGGACAGTCGTTGAACAAACCGTGCTTCGCGCACCTGTACGTCAAGAGGTACCGTTGATGATGAACCTGGTTTTCTTGTTCCTAAATCAAAATGCGATTCCCGATCTAAAAAATGCTCATGCATGTAACTAAAAAGGAGTTAACTTTAGTCCTTTTTTATCACTGAAATGACTCCATTTGATGAGTTAAAAGATGTTTAGTTAAAATTATCCCCGGAAAGGAGTTATTTTGGAGCTAAAATTTTAACTCCATTTTAGAAGAATAAGAACAACTCCACTGAAAGTATTAAATAAACTCCCATCTTGGAGTCATTTCAAGGCCAGATTTGGAGTAAAAATTGGGAGTTGAAATGACCCCCAAAAAGGAGTTATTTTGAACCTACATTTGAACTTCGTTGTTGGGGTAAAACAACTCCCATAAAATTACCGTGTGCACGTCCATTTGTGTGGGGTGGAAGGAGTAGCCGAGATAGCTTCTTTCCTTCCCCCCAACAGATAACATCAACGAGATCATGACATATTAAGACGGAATCCACCAGGAAATTGAGTAATTTCAATTTTCAGTGGACAAAAACCTTGTACCAGAATAATTTAAAGCATATTACATTCTTTTATACATTTTTCAACGTCTAAAGATGTAATTAGTCATCTGTAATAACACCAAGAAAATTTCTTATGGGATCCCTAGAAAATTACAAAATTACATCTAAAATTACATCTGACACATGAAATTTTCAGTATTTTAGCTGTTTTCACAATTCTTGTGAAATTCGACAGTCATTTGCTCGGACTCCCATGAGAATTTTTTTTCGTTGTTATCACAGATAACTAATTTCATCTTTAGCCCTTGAAAAATGTAAAAAGAATGCAGTATTCTTTAAATTATTCTGGTACAAGGTTTTTGTCCACTGAATATTAAAATTACTCAATTTCCTGATGGATTCTGTCTTAAACAAAATTTGCTTCTA